TGCGTACGAATGAAGAACTACCTTGTACACCGTTTTTCTGGAACGTAAAAATGTACCCGGCCCAATGATCAAGAGACTTAGTTTTTTGTTTAACCGATCACATAGGGTGGTCGGGTTGTGTAATGGATAGAGCACTGGCCTTTTTCCAAGGCGGCCGGGTTTCGATTCCCGATCAGACGTGAAAAGGTATAGGATTACCTGCCCGACCACATGGGTTTTCTCCTGGTATTCCGGTTTTCTTCCACATTAAGACCCCCGCGCGCTTACATCCGGGTCAACAAGAGTGATAATTATAAGTTGTAAAAACTTGCTTCATAATTGTTGTAAAATAAATAAACTTTATATACATTATATATCGCGTATGGTGTCATATTTCATCGATCAAGAAAAGATTGTTTCATGATGCAGGAGTTAGGTGTCAAATCGTAATCCATAATCTGATCATTTAATATTAATTCAAATAGTTTTTAAAATATTTTTTCGACCATCATATCTTCATGTCGAATTTATATGGATTAACATAAAAAAAAACTGAACACAAGAAACAATTTACAAGAAATTTGAAATTTAACGACCTTTCTCACAAGACGTCATGATAATTTAAAAACAGTCAACGACACATTACGTAATCAAATGTAGCATTAAAAGCCCAATGCGATAGAAACATTCAGGCACTTTAATTAACTTACTTTTCGCGAATATCTTTATTTGCTAAAGAAGCAAAAATGTCTATATTTATTACTATTTTAACAAGTCAAATATCAGAAATGACAAACTTGAGGAAAACGTTTATCTTCACTGCGCTGAAGATATACAAATTGTTGTATCCAGCAGAATATAGCGATATCCTCTATATATGTGATTTTTCAAATTCAGGGTATAATTCAATTTGCTATGTTACGTAGACGATCTACGGTAGCAGCTTGATAACATGTTCAATGTAATACTCCGTCGCTGTACGGTTTACCAATCAACGACGTGCAAAAACAGTAAAATTATACAATGTACTGGTAAAATGTACCAGCATATGCTAATTTACCTTTATTTAATTTACCTTTATTTTCTTTAGTTTAACAATACAGTGGAGAGTGACTAGAGAATATTAGACAAATCTCAATTAGTTTAGTGGAAAAAAAACCAATAATTGAAACAGGTTCACAAAACTTTACATTAAGGTGCCTTTATCAGAATTCATCGACATTCAGTTGCACTAGAGTAAAAATTTAAAATCATTATACCTATTCACATTTGCAGCAAACACACAATGTTTGGGTTTTTTCATAACTGAAAGATACATCTTCCTCTTTAACGGAATCAAAAATCAATTAAAAATCAGTTTAAAAAAAATATTTAGTTCAAGAGACTCGACAAAACTGGGTCCAGATGGGAACAGATGCGACAGGACAATCTGGGTAAGGACGTTCCGCGTTCAACCACTTATACAAATATATATAATAAATTTTCCTTTTGTTACATTGGTGCTTCAGTAAGGTCTCCTTAACCAAAACTGGTCCCATTTACAGTATAAGCGACGTCACCCGGTATATGGATGACATTCAATCAAATGATGATGTAAAATAAATAATTCAAATTATATAAAAAACTTCGTTTTCAAATAACAGTTTTGGATTATACGACATCCATGAAATGTGATTATTTATGAAGAAATCGATTTAACAACAGAAAACGTATGTTTATAGTTAAACAACAGTGAACAATATGAACGAAATGACTGTGTTTCAATTTTACTCAACGTGTGTGTTAACAACGTGAAAGTTTGTGGTTTTGCAGATTGTGTCAGATTACAACTATAATACAATATATAATTCTAACACAATGTAGTTCCTAGTCACAAACGCTATAGTTCAGTGTTCTTTTCCTCCTTGTGTGCGATATTCAAACACTGTCTAAATCTACATCCTAACCTATAATATTTCAAGAAATAAAACGTTCTTTCTTTTAACGGTGGACATGCCATTATAAATCGTTTTCCCATCCAAGTTCTATATTTCTTGTAAATGTTGACAACACTGAAATGCTACAGGAATAACAACTGACAAGATATTCCTTCATGAATCTCAGTAGATCTCCACCTTGTATCAGAAGTGAAAAGACTGAACGAACACTTCATTTATATATAAATGTACGGAAAACATGACTGGATTGTTGGTTGGTTATTGATACAAATACTCCTATTCCGTCTTTGAGTATTGCCGAGTTAGCTTCTCTTGTGAACAGGTTTTGATTGTTACGTCATTGGTTTGTGTGAGAAAATTACGTCGTTTTCTCACAAATTGGTGACGTTACTCTCAGAAACAAATGACGTAACAATCACTACCTGCTCACAAGAGCAGATAACTCTGCAATACGAAAAGACGGAATTGAAAATGGTTGCTTCCATAGTAAGCAGCTTCATACAACGGAGAAGTTCACACTTACGGCATTATTGTATTCCTCAGACACCATCCATGGTGTGTTATTACTGCTAATATTTTATGTCGTTAGATCGACAATTTATGTGACGGCATGAAAGTCGAATATAGCAACGACAAAGAATAAAGAAAGTATGCCATATTGGAACTAAACGTTAGAAAACGAAACAAAAACGTTTTCTAAGTATTTTACAATTCATGTAATGCTGATAAATTTTTCAAAAAAAACTGTTTTTTAAAATAATATAGAAGTAACAAAAAAATGCCTAAGATTATATAGAATATCGCATGGAAAAAAAGCAAGAGGGGAAAATTAACTTTCAATCATTCATCCCTAAAAACACATTTGAACTCTTCTAATTCAAGGTTGGGACAGTTAATTTTGAAATTTCAGGGGTGAATGAGTTAACGTTATTTGGGGGACATTTACCGTACAAATTTCCCTCTAACCATTTCCAAGTCTGAAGTGATGTAATGAGTTGTTACCACTGCGATGAGAGAGGGCCTAAGTGATACCTAGTTGCCAGGTAGTATAGGACATATACCGAATTCCTGCCAATTTTCTTCTCTTACACATACGCATACAGCTCATTACCGATAGATCAGCGAGGGCAGAAGTACCGAGTAATTCTACATGTCTATCTTACTGACTCATATAAGGATTACACGTCATGTAAATTCGCATTAATAATCCTACACCAATTTGTATGCATATCATTTAACAACGAAAACCACTTAAATATCTGAGGCATAAGCCATAGGAGCAAAGATAATTCTTCCTGAAATTTAAATAAATGTTTAACATCTCGTATAACAGACGACAAAATGTAGCATTTCCAAAACACTTACGATCAGTGTGTATATATAATTCTGGTGTCATTTCCAAGAATTCAAACACTAAACGTTTTTGTCGGATATATATAGGCATAAATAGATATAATATCATTGTGTATAGTGTCAACTGCTGCCAATATACAACTTCAGTTGCAAGTTAATTATAAACAAGGCTTCCTATTACATCAACCTCTGGTCCCTTCGTCCTTAATTAATTAACAGAGAAAGCACATATATAGCTTAAGCAGGACATATATGGTACGAACAGAAATATGTCACAATGGTTCAATATATTACTAACGTCGGACACACGGCCATGATCCAAAAGTCCAAAGGTTTGGCGTAAACAATTATAGACCGATGTAAATGTTGCTTTTTGCAGGTTTTTGTTCATGATCAAAGATCTAATTAATCTGCATGCATTTTCTAGGAATCTATCGGGAATTAGGCGTTTAACATATATTTAAATCACGAAACGATTTACACTATATGTTCATAATTTAGTGTGAATTGATCATGATTGCCAGGTAAAAATAAATCACGTTGAGGACAGTGGCAATGACAATTGACCTTGAAAAAATCCATAGGCTTCAACTTGTACAGTTATCAACAAAAACATTTCACGCAAGCTTGCACACACATACACACACTCGGACGCATACACAAATACATACCAGTATATTAATCTAATAATACAAGTGTATGTGTTCATCAGACAACCGTGATCTCACCTATTTTAGTACAGTACAGAATAAAATACGTGTACAAACATGTTGACAATTATTAAAACAATACAAGAGAGGTAATTAAAGGTCAAATTGAAACTCACAAACAGCTTCATGCAAATTTACGTTGAAAGGTGTGCACACGCTGGAAACGTACATGGAACAAAAAGAATATTTCATTTTGGTCATAATAGCAACCTGACTTTGTAGTGTTTCGCCATTTAGCAAAGTGATGACATGTATAGCTGTATCTGCATCATTGATATTAACACTAGTATTTAGGGTGTTCTTTTTCTTATATGTAAAGAGGGTGGAGCCACATTCACTGTAACGAAAACCCTTATATTTTAGAACATTAATGGAAACATCACTTCCCTATATAATTTTGAAATTTAAACAGTTTTCCAGTTTTCTTGTTTCAAGTGAAAAAAATACCAAGAGAATACCAAGTTATGAAATTTAATACTAAAACATAAAATCTCTATTTCTGAAGAACAGAGGGTGGATGTTGTACTTTTTCTATTCTTAAAGAGACGACCTCGCCTTCGCACCTGTAGAGTCTCCCAGTGATGTAAAATAACATGTTTGTTACGTACACAGGTACGTATATTTATATCCATATTTGACTATTAATAGGAACGTAAAACATTTAACACATTTCATACATCGAATTTTATAGTAACATCAAAACGTTTTGCTGCCAATAATTCATGTCAAAGGTTAACATCCTTTATTAACCAATCAAATCCTTCCAAATAGATACATTTAAAGGAACGTTCCACCGATGGCAATCCGTGTAACATGTTTATAAAGAGTTGGGCAGAGATGTTTCCCAGTCATCACTAGTTGTGAAACATGCATCTGTTATGCATTTGCACTTCACAAATGCATGACACTCTGGAGCAACGACATTTGTAGCCATGGAGACAAGCACGCATCCAAATATGAATTAGCTAATACCATTGGCTGGTAAATAATTAAATGTCACTTCTTTTCACACAGNCCCCCCCCTATTTTTTACACATCTGTCAAGCAGAAATTTGCAATAATGGAAACTATGGAAACTGGTCCGGCCAGTTTGTGCGCCCCTCACGTTCTCTGAGTAAGAATTGCCCCGAGGGCCACAGCGCCGATCGCTCCCAGCATGCCGTATTTGATAACACCAGATATGTTGTCCCAGGGGCTTTCCCTCCTCCGTGTGTTTCCTTTCTCATAGAATTCCACGAAACCATCCTGCAAAAATACAAGTCATACAATAAAATGTGGACGTGTGTATTGACAGATATATAAGTCTAACTATTTAAGTAATGAATTATTTAGCAAATGGTGTTATGGGTCTATAACACGCATTGCTATTGCTTTTAATAAAGCCAAGTTGGGATTTATATTTGTTTAGCTGTAGCAACAGCAATGCGTGTTCAAGGAACATATATTTCACACCATTTGCTATAAATCATTCATTACTTATATTTTCATTTTAATAGAGAAGATATGATTTTTATTCACTTATTTCACGCTCTTAAAATCAGTTCGTTGATTTATTGGAACAGCCAAGCCAGTTTTTCTACAATCAGGTAGGTGAAGTCACATTAATGGTCAACGGGCTGGGGTACCTGGCCAAATGGTGCTATTTGTCACTCTACACATATTGCATGCATGCCGATCATGATGGAATGAGTGAAGCAGAGCAAATGTAACTGTATAAATGGATTTTAAATCAAACAGACAAACCGTGCCAACAAAACATAACCATCTTTCGGGATCTTGTTCAATGTACCTGTATGTATACAGTAACAAACATAAATTTCTATATAGGACAAACATTGTTTTGCTATATTTGTCGATATGCCTTAGCTCAAAATTTGTTTGACTAACCTAATTACATTACTACACCTACTTTTCAGTGCACTTTTCTAAATATTCAATAGTATAAACTATCATTCATTTTCATTTCCACTTTCTAGCTCATTGTACACTGTATACATCTATAACCGCGGGGATGCTGCGTCTGTTAGTATCCTTTAAAGACCAGGAGTGGGCGGAAAACAGAGATGAATACTGGCGATAGACAACAGGAAGATTACGTAACACACAATCTACTATGTAGGTCAAACATAAATGTGGAGTCCTAGATGTGGTTTCCTCCTCAACCGACATCTAACGAAACAACGTTTCCTTTATCAGAAGTCAGTTCATTGGTAAACACGCTGTTCGGAACATCTTATTTCTTCAGAAGCTCATTCATCGGTAACAAGGCTGTTCGGAACATCTTATTTCTTCAGAGGTAACAAGGCTGTTCCGAACATCGTATTTCTTCAGAAGCTCATTCATAGGAAAATGGTTGTGGGCGGTATCTAACAAAATGATAAAAAGTCCAACTTCCTTCATATATTTAGCTCAACTAGATAATTTCATGTACCTTTGACACAGAAATATCGAAGCATTCCATTCCTTTTTTGCCGCGAAATACTGGGCATATACCCAAACGCCTATGTAACAGATCTAGATGTCTATTAGCATGTGCGCATCATTTAACATGTCGTCTTTGTATTTTTTTTATTAAGGATCCCTGTACATGTCCCACTTAAGTTTTAAAATTTCATTTTTTGTATATAGAGTAACGTCCCCTTAGTTACGTATTAGAAATAACATAATTGTAGTTCAATTGCAATTGGACCACGGCATTTCTGTTGATCAGCTAAGTTGCTCAATGGGTAAAAGCGACAGTAAAGGTCTGAGGTCCAGGGTTCGAACCCTGCCCTGGCCTCTCTGAAATTTACGCTCAGAACACTGCTATTGATCATGTAATGTTTATTTCATCTTTAAATTTGTTATATTTGTTCATAAAACTCCTGCAAAATTTATTTTATTTTCAGAAATGATTCATCAAACTGGCAAAAACAGTATCCAATGCATAGCTACAATTGTTTGGCGGTGGTACAGGGATCGTTAAGTATGTAAGATCTTTTGTTACAATGGAAAATGTTATAAATGTAAAATGGATGTAGTCGTTACTACGTTCTGTTGTGGGAGAGTTTCGAGAGACCCACTTGACGACAGAACTCCATTGAACTGTCAGTGAGGGAGTGGAATGGAAATACTGGCCATGAATAAGTGATATAGACAACCGCCAAGGTCTAGTTTGTACCGTGTAATAGACAGAGAAAACCACAATACCAACACACCCAGTCCATCAACCATCACGTAGAGCAGGTTTGCATTTCATTGACAAATTTTCAATCACTCAGGTGGGTGAAATTTCATCCACACCTCCGACAGCAATGAACAACTGTAATCAATTACCTCAGACAGCAATGAACAACTGTATTCAACTACAAGCATCTTTCACTAGTATTTACAAAACGGTTCCCAAAACCATGTATAAGAATATAATACATGTTTATAAATAAATATACACAGCATGACATTTACAAAAGGCTAGACACGAGATAAAGCAATTTATCAAATGCTTTATTACCCAAACTTTAAAGAGCCGATCCCTCTACCAATATGAACTAATTACAAAATCAATCATGCCTACACCATACAGAGAAAGTACGTTAACATTTGTGTATAGTGAGTATACATCTCGTAATTCAAGTCATCAATGGAAAACAACGTGGGTTTATACTAAGAAATCTAAATATTTTGGCACACGTCCCGATCATACAATATTATGGACATTCCAGACTTAATACCAGTTTACCACAGTTAAGCTTCTGCCCACGTCAGGATTAATCGCCAAACATTTCTCCACATATCGTGGCCAGGACCATTATACGAGCCAGCCAGAGTCTGTTTCATTTCCCCCCGATTTCGAAGTACATGTGCTTCTTTACTGTGTATATTTATCTAGTGATTATTCTAAAAAATACAATGGCAATAACTTTGTTGAGAAAATCTATTTTAGATGTTATCAACATCAGGTACGTAATATTAGTGCCTTGTAAAATCGGATTCATTGGAAACTGTACGTAAAAACTATGGATGGTCTCGATATGAAAAAATGTGAAATATGTCCACTCATAAGTGGCCCTGTACGATCTCATCCTCTTGTTGAGGCGAGTACGTAGACTTCACAAATATCAAATGTGTTAAAATGTCAACTTCAGATTTAATAACTTAATATCGATTCGCGATACAATTAAACTTGAATATACATGTTCAACACGCGTAACACAATATAACGCACATGGGACATTATAGGAGAAACATTACATCAATTTCATATCCATAAATGTTTGAGACAGTAGCTCGTCAGGATGGAAATCAAACGAGATAAACAATTCTGCATCATTACAGTTAATAATTCGTGACAGTAAAACCTACTAAAAATACACAGTGATACTAATTGTGATGATGTTCAATGGAGCAAACAGATTGATATGGAGATGGAAGGCAGTCTTTGTTTACCCAATTAAGTGTCTAGTGACAGTTCATCCCTCTGGTATGTAGCTGTGATCAATATTATACACGTCGGCACAACATAGGAAACCAATAGCGATTGTTGACGCTTGTTCGTTTAGTCGTAACCGCCCGTTAACACAATGAGGTCGTATACAGGGCCATGGGATAAAACAAAAGGCCCAACTGCCTATTGTATGATCATTGCTAACGTTCAAAGTAGTACAATGCCAAATTTACGTAAACCAAGTTTGTACAAGCAAGCCTAGCCCAAAAAGCCACATCACACACAGTCGACACTTTGCTAAATTTGTCTTCAACTTCACATGTCCATTGCCCGCGTTGTCTAAACTTGCGTCATGGATGCGCAGACAGTAATCGCATTACGCTATACCTTTTGAATCTTTGTTGGAAGATTTTGAACTTGTTTACTGACAAAACCTTCATTGTGACTCAAGATCATTTCTTTCAGAACAAAAATTATAGCTATTTTTTCTAACAAGGTACAGGCCTATCATCATTATATACTAGTCTTGTATGGACCTTTAGAAGAAGTTGTTTGCACTTTCGACCCCAGTGACTTGGAAAGTGGGTCAAGGTAATATTTTCTGACAAAACTTATTGCACTTAATAATAGCAAGCTATATGTAGCAATCTGGATGCCAGATACAGGTATGTATATGTACATGTTTAACATATTTCACCCCTGTGACCTTGAAAGCAAGTCAAGGTTGTTTATTTGAACAAAACTATTTAGTCATTCAATCGAAATGAAACAAAAATGAAATTAGTTTTTGGCTTTATCAATTATAATACATGTACTTATGTTACCTCGTCATGCATTCTAGTTAACAGCAACAGGTCTAAAGGGCCTGCCATATCCCGCTTATTTGGACTAACACAGTAGTTCTCATAATGTACATATGTATATATATGTATATGTACCTAAACTTGTCCACACTGTTGGAATTACTTCTTTGCCCCATACATATATACATGTATATACAGGACAGTATATACCATATATATATAGTAGCTCCGTCATCATGCTATATATATAATATTTCATGGCACATCTGAGAGCTAATGTTAGGCAATAATGCTTTGTTTGTCGTGACAGAACTAATAACCAATTACTGTGAGTGACCATGTGGGATCAATAATGTAAACGTGTATATTGTATATATACATATCTGCAATATGATGCCCACTCTGTGCATGCAGGCTGTGGGGCCTGGGCCATCTACATGTATATTTAACCAGTGATATTCATATGTAGAAAAAATGATCATGAACTACATTCACATAGTATATACCTGTATATATACAAGGCCAGAAAATGTATGGCCTTTTATAGCTAATTACATGTACATGAAAAGCTAACCTTTCCAGCCCTGTTATTCCTAACATACAATGTATATAGACAATCATATTTTCCATTCATCCCATCCTTCTTTTCAGTCTTCCCATCATTCAACTATCATTTCCAATTTTCCCATCAGTCCATCATCCTTTCCAGTCTTCCTTTTCAGTCTGCTTACCCATCCTTCCATCATCTTCTCATCCTTCCATCATCTTCCCATCCTTCCATCATCTTCCATCCTTCCCATCATTCTTCCCATCATTCCATCATCCTTCCCATCATTCCCTCATCCTTCTCATCATTCCATCCTTCCGATCATTCCATCATTCCATCATCCTTCCTATCATTCCCTCATCCTTCCCATCATTCCATCATCCTTCCCATCATCCCTCATCCTTCTCATCATTCCATCCTTCCAATCATTAAATCATCCTTCCAGGCCCTCATGCCTCCTAGCACTATATGA